GCGCCGCCCCGCAGCGCTGCCTGTCCCGCTGCCTGCAGCACCGGCGTCCTCAGGCACCTTACAAGAGCCCCTCGGTAGCCGGGTTAGGCCTGCATCCCCCTCGTTAGCCAGATTCCCCCCCCCCAATTAGCTGGATCCCTGTTGCACCCCTCTTATTAGCTGGCTGCAGCCTGGGTCCCCTCGGTTAGCTGGATCCACCCTGCACCCACCCCCTTACCCAGGTTCACCGTGTGCACTCCCTCCCTTTGCTAAAGCCGCTCTGACGGGCCCAATTTTGTCCCCCAGTGAGGGCTGGACACCCCCCCCGCCCCCTGGGCTCGTTGTGGGGAACGAGCCTCCTGCTGCCATGCCGTGGCCTTTTTGCCAGGACTGATCCAGACCCGGGAGCTGGGTGCCAAGGGCAGTGCTTGGCCAGCCGAGGAGTAGAGTTTGGGGGTGTCCGGCCGATCCCAGCACTCCCCCCTGGCCAGGATTTCCTTCACCTTGCGCCTCTCGGGCAGCCGGACCCCACCGCACCCCAATCTGGGTGCTGGGGCAGCACCCTTGGGTGTCCCTGAGGAACAGGCCACCTGCAGCAGGATGCATGGCGTCCTTGGGCCAGGGACTACATGTCCCAGCATGCTCTGGGTTGAGCATGGCCCCGCTGACGGAGAAGGCCTGCTCCATCCTTCCCCGCCATCGCAGGGCGAAGAGCGGGGGGACCGCGGCCATGCTGCGCCCCAAAGCCCTGACGCAGGTGCTGAGCCAGGCCAACACCGGCGGGGTTCAGAGCACCCTGTGAGTAGGGGTTGGGGGCCGGGGGCGAGGGGCGGCTTCCCCCGGCCTGTGCGCTGGGGACCGCAGGGCCAGCTGGCATGCTTCGGCTCCACCCAGGGTAATACTTCTGCGAGGATGTGCCTTCTTCCCCCTGCCCTGGAAATGCCCCCCCACGGGGGGGGGGTGAGGGGCCCTGCAAGGGGCATGCGTGGTGCTGAGGCCGTGCACAGTGCACAATGCATGGTGCTGGGCCTATGCATGGTCCATGATGCATGGTGCAGGGCTATGCACAGTGCTGGGCCTGTGTATGGTGCTGGGCCTGTGTATGGTGCTGGGCCTGGGCACAGTACACAGTGCCAGGGACATGGACAGTGCCGGGACCATGTACTGGGCACAGTACACAGTGCTGGGGCTGTGCACAGTGCTGGGCCCATGCACAATGTATAGTGCCAGGGACATGGATGGTGCCAGGACCATGTGCTGTGTGTGGTGCTGGGGCCGTGCACGGTCCATGATGCATGGTGCTGGGCTATGCACAGTGCTGGGGCTGTGCACGATGCACAATGCCAGGGCTGTGTACAGTGCTGGGCCTGTACACGGTGCACAGTGCCAGGGACATGGACGGTGCCAGAACCATGCACTGTGCAGAGTACACAGTGCCGGGGCCGTGTATGGTGCTGGGCCCATGCATGGTGCACAGTGCCAGGGACATGGACAGTGCCAGGGCCACGCACCGTGCATGGTGCTTGCCTGCCAGGCTTGTGCCCGGTCTGCAGCAGGTCTTGCTGCTGGACAGACACAGCCACTGCAGACCCACACTGCCCTGCTTGGGACTGGGGCCACCCCAGAGCTTCAAGGCTTTGAAGCTCACCACCCACTGCCAAAATCCCCTGCAAACCTGGGGTGTCCTGGGAGCAGTGCTGGGCGGAGGACTGGGCTGGGAGGGTTTTGCTCTGCCCCCTGGCACTGCGATGGGGTCTGGTGTCCCACTGGGTTCAGAGACACCAGTTCATCCCCCCATCTCGTTTCCAGGCTTCTGAACAACGAAGGGTCCTTGCTTGCCTACTCGGGCTACGGGGACACTGATGCCAGGGTCACTGCGGCCATCGCCAGCAACATCTGGGTGGCCTACGACAAGAATGGGCACCAGGCATTCAATGAGGACAACCTCAAATTCATCCTCATGGACTGCATGGTATGTGGGGCTGGGGGCTGCCCTCCCCTCCCTGGGGACCCAGGCACCACCATGGCTCTGGGGGTTTCCCAGGACCCTGCTGGCGGTCTCTGCCAAGCCAGGTGTGCAACGGGCGCTGTTTCTCCCTGGGCAGGAGGGGCGAGTGGCCATCACGCGGGTAGCAAACCTGCTGCTCTGCATGTACGCGAAGGAGACAGTTGGATTTGGGATGCTGAAGGCCAAGGTAATGCTGGTGGGGAGGGGATCAGGGGGGGTCGCAGGGCTGCATCCCTGCTGTGGGGTGGGAAAGAGCTGTTGAGGAGGATGAGGATGGGAATGGTGGAGGAAGCTGCCATGCCTGGGACGCCTATTTCCTCCTTGCAGAGACTCCTCTGTCCCTTTTGCCAGCCCAGGGGTTGCACCACACCTTTTTAAGGCTCTAAAATGAAATATAAATTAAAATAAGCATGCGGGCGGTGTGCGTGCAAGTTGCAAAATCCACCTTGGCACCACTCACACTGCTTTCTGTTGGCAGGCACAGGCGCTGGTCCAGTACCTGGAGGAGCCACTCACACAGGTGGCCGCATCCTGAACATGGGAGTGGAAGGACTCAGAGGTGCCACTGTGCAAAGGCCTTTTGCTTCGACCCTGTCACCAGCGTGGGTGGGGGGTGAGCGGCCCCATGGACATCCAGGAGCTTGGTCCTGCTTTGGTGTGGCCTTTAAAAATGAGGTGGGGGGAGCAAAAAAAACAGGGGAGGGGAATAAAAGTGTGTCTGATGCTTGTGTCCTTTTGTGTCTCTTACAAATAAAAGGAGGAGCTGGGGGGGTAACGCTCACCTGGCCGGGCTGGGTGTGCCTGGGGCAGTGTTTTGGGGCTGCCCTTAGCTCTGCGATGGGCTGTTGCCCTGGGGAAAAACAGAGTAGGGGCTTGTGTCAAGGGGCAGTGGGTACAACAGAGCAGAGGCGGCCGGGGCTCCTTCCCTTCCCCAGTTTCCCCGGCTTTCACACGATGGCAGCAGAGGCGAGGAAACGCGTTCGCAGCCAGTTGGAACCGGGCTGAGCTGGGGGCTTTGCTTCTGGCCTGGTTGCCCACCACGCTACCCCTGCCTGCTGTCCCAGCCTGCCCTGCGCTGCAGCCTGCCCTGCGCTGCAGCCAGGATCGGGCCCCGGCTCCTCCTCCGGCCGCCCCGTGACGAGTCCCAGGGGTGACACTACCTGCCCAACCTGCGCTGCGACACCCAGTCCCACCCCTTGAGTCAACCAGCCCGTTCTGCACCACCAACCTGGCCGGCCTTGGCGGCTCTCCCCCGAACCCTACTCGCTTCCCTGGACCCCGCTCACTCCCCGCCAGAGAGGAAACTTTGTCCCCTCCATCTCCTCCCTCGGCGCCTTTCGGAGCCCGGCCCGCCCCACACCGTCTGCTCGAGGCTTTGCAGCGGGAAGGAGGAAACCAAGCAGCGGCAGCCCTGGCGAGGGCGGGTGGCAGTCAGGACGACATGGGCAACACCGAGGAGGATTATAATTTTGTCTTCAAGGGTGAGTTCTGGGCTTGATGCGAACCCCCCTCCCCAAAAGGGATGGAGCAGGATGCCAGGGGCTGCAGGGAGGGAGTTGAGGTGCCTTCCCCCCAGGGGCTGCTGTGTCCCAAACTGGGATGTTGCTGACCATCCATGCAGCTTTGATGTGCGCCAGGAGCTGCGAAGGGTCGGGATCGGGGAGCAGGCACCGGCCCCACCTGATGGCAGCGAGGTCAGGGCTGGTGAATGATGCTGGGGTCCGCAGAGGCACGGGAAGACCCATGCCCACCCGAAGGCTGCAGTGTGGGACACTGGGCAAATTGCTGGCATGTGGTGGGGACTGAGATGGCTGGGGCTGAGCTTGCGAGATGTAAATGCTGTGCGAGCTCATTAACCCCTGAAAGCAGCGGACATTTAAAAGTCCTGCTGCTGCGGTGACCTGGGTGGTGGCACATGCAGAGGACACAGGGGTCAAACTTGAGCTGAAGAAGCAGGGCCACAGCCTCATGGCCCCCCCAGCTTGGGTTCCACAGGCACGGGGTCCCGGCGTCCTGCGTCTCTGCCGGGCGCTACCAGCCGGACCCCATTGGACCTCAGTGCTCCGCACCTTGGGCAAGCAGAGATGGACAGGCTCTGGTGTGCCGTCAGCCCTGGGTGCCCACCACAGGCAGGGTGACACAGGGCTTGCCAGTGTCCTTGCCCTGCTCCTGCTGCCCAGAGCCTGGTGGCGATGACCTCCCCGAACATTGCTGGGCCCTCGCCGGCAGACGGGGAGCATGGCTGGGCTCAGCCGAGGTGGCACAGCCATGCTCGAGGGGTCAGAGCTCATGACGCAGGGACAGGACCCCTGTTTGCTGAAGGAGTGACTGCAGCGGGGGTTATACCTACCTGCCTGCCCGGCCTCTGTGCCCAGGTCTGGGGCCATCAGGCAATGAGGGATGCCCATGCACCCTGTGCCAGCAGCTGGGGTGGGCTGGCTGCCCCACTACCAAGGCAATGAGCTGCTGGCTGGTCTGGCTCAGGTCAGAAAGGGTTATTTGAATTACCGTGAAGTGTCTTGGAGCAGCCCTCTCCCCTCCTCGACAGCTGCGATGGGCTTTCTCCCTTCCCTCCACAGTCGTCCTGATTGGGGAGTCCGGGGTAGGCAAAACCAACCTGCTCTCCCGCTTCACCCGCAATGAGTTCAACCACGACAGCCGCACCACCATCGGCGTGGAGTTCTCCACCCGCACCATCCTGGTGGGAGACGCCGTGGTGAAAGCTCAGATCTGGGACACGGCTGGGCTGGAGCGGTACCGTGCCATCACCTCTGCGTAAGGATGGGATGCCCAAAATCAGTGTTCCCCCCTGGTACCTGGGCAGTGATGCCCTTGTAGTTGAATCCCACAGGTGAGGATGCTGTGGGAGATGTCCAGAGCCTGGAGTAATGGTGGCATTCTCCCGTAGGTATTACCGGGGGGCAGTGGGTGCCCTGGTCGTCTTTGACATCACCAAGCACCAGACGTACAATGTGGTGGACCGCTGGCTGAAGGAGCTCTACGACCATGCTGAGGCCAGCATCGTCGTCATGCTGGTGGGGAACAAGACCGACCTCACGCAGGCTCGGGAGGTGCCCATGGAGGAGGCAAAAATGTTTGCAGGTACAGGCTGGCACCCTGCCACAGGCCTGGGGGCTTGGGAACCTCCCTGACAGCAGGGACCTGCACCAATGCGGGCACCCAGATGTCTCTAAAGGGCCTTGGAAATGGAGCCGTGCCCTTGCCGGGGTCTGCATCGTCTCAGTCCTCTCATTGCAGACAACAATGGGCTGCTGTTTGTTGAGACCTCGGCGCTGGACTCCACCAATGTTGAGCAGGCATTCGAGACCATCCTGAAGGGTACTTGCACTGGTGCTGTGATGCAGCGGGGTCCTGGGGACCGGAGCATCGAGGGGTCCCTTACTGGGGACGCAGGGCTGGGCAGAGGATGTACAGTGCGTCTCTCCTCTGCCCTGCTCCACGTGAGCTCTTTGGGGCTGGTTTCGGTGTCGTCTTTCTGGCTGGTTTGGTTTCCGGCCTTTTGTGCTGGGTGTTTCGCTCTCCGCACCCCATGGCTTTGTTCTCATGGCCCCCGGGCATCCCCAAAGCCCGGGGGACTTCCGCCCCTGTAATCCCTGGTCCCCTTTCCTGTTGTCCTGGGCTCCTGACTCAATGTCTCCAGAACCCTGCTGAACTAGCCATGGGGATCTGGGGGGATGGGGATGGAGAGCGGTGATGCTCAGCCAGGAGCACCTCTCCAGGAATGGCAGCCAGCAGCATCAGGGCAGGAGTGCAGCCAGGTGTGCCGTGCTGTGCCGTGCCATGCCATGCTGTGCCGTGCTGTGCCATGCCGTGCTGTATAGTGCTGAGCCAGCCTGGCCCGGGGAGCTGCCAGCCCTGGCACAGGGTGAAGCACTAATCCCAGGTTGGGCAAGAGGAAATTGCCTAAGCGCAGGGTGTTCCCCAGGCACTGCAGGGATGCAATTTGGGGGAGCTGCTCCTTTGTCACCCCTCAACTCGTCCTCTCTGCTGCATAAAGGGGAAGGAGAGTCACCGATGTGCCAAGCAGTGGGCCAGAGGGCAAGCAACAGGGGCTGCAGGCTCGAAGCTGTCCCTGCTTCCCCGGGGGGGCCCTTGGCTGACACACAGACACCCCCCCCCGCACCTCTTGTTTTGCAGAGATCTTCCACAAAGTGCAGAAGCAGAAGCAGAGGAGCAGCCAAAGCAACACGGTGTCACTTGCCAGTGAGACCCTGGCGAGCGCAGCCCCGGTGCAGACGGAGAAGCGCCCATGCTGTGTGGCCCTCTGAGCTGGCCGGGCACCCCAGGAAGCCCCTGGGGACCCCCACAGCCCCAGGACACGCCAGTGGCATAGCACTGGGTCTGCCTCCATGCAGACTCGTCTGGCCACTGGCACTGGCTGGTGTCACCCAGCCTGCTGTGCCACCCCTGTCCTGGTGCAGTGGGGACCAGCAGCCTGGACAGTGGCCATATTCTGCCATAAACAATGAGAAGCACCAGTGCCAGGAGCTCTTCTCTGTCTGCTTCATTTTTGCCGGGCCTCAATTAGCATCACCACCGTCATGCACGGACCTCCCAGCCCCTCTGGACCCGTGGTGCAGAGGACTGAGATACCCCCAAAGCACCGCTGGGGAAGGAGCCAGGAGGTTCTGGCCAGGATCGTGGCAGTGACGGGAGCCTCTCCGATTGCGTCTGGCCCTGGGGTTGCTCCCGTGGGGCCACCCTGTGCCATGCACTGGGGACATGGCTGTCCCTACAGGTCTCCATCCCCACCGGGGACTGCTCTGGAGTCATCCCAAGCCCTAAGGAGCAAAGTGGCAGCGCTCAGCCCTTGGCACACCTCTGTCCCCATCCCAGACACCGGACAAGCGTGATGGCAGGACCTAGCGAAGGTCCGTCCTGTCTGCACAGCGGGATGGGACTCAGTGCAGAGCCCAGTGCCAAGAGCCTGGGAGCAGCTCTGTGTCCAGCGCAACGGTGACGCAATCATTAAAGGACTTGCAAAATGCAGGTTTGCTGAGTTGGAATTCCCATGTGTTTGTAGTCCCATACCCGGGTCCCCACCTCCATGACATGCCAAAGATCGTGGCCACCCAAGCAGCCCAGCCCGATGCCATGATCCCCCCGCGCTCCCTCCCCGCACAGCTTTTCCCTGTCCACATCCCCACACCCTCGATGGCTTATAGGGAATGACTGGCAGTTTATCAGTCCAAACCATGACTTGGCCTCTGCCAGTTACCCCAAACCCCTCGGAAATGGGAGAACCGCTGCTGGATTCTCCATATCTTCCTCTAGTTCTGGACACTCTCTTTCCCTTTGCACCGTGCAAGAAGACATGTTGGCCCAGCTCCCATTTTTGCGCCCGTGGTTCTGTGCGGAGAGCGTGGCCGCGCCTGTCCCCGTCAGTGGCACACATGCACGCGGTGGTGGCCTTTCTCTGCTGCCATGCAGCGCTTTGCGTGAGGACACCCCGATGCAATGCACCCCAATGCACCCCACAGCCCGCGGGGAGGGGAGCAGAGCCCTCGCCCATGGGAGGAGCCTCATACCTGCCCCCCCCCCTTACCTGGCCCGGGTGAGCACACCTGGGCGGTGACGGACAGCCCCGACCGCCAATGGGTACGGAGGAGGAAGGGCTGTGGCCACCAATGGGTGCGCAGGGGACAGCCCCTGCCAGGGCTGGGTAAGGCCCGGAAATCCCAGTTGGCCCAGCGGGAGTGGGGCTGTGGAGCTGGGCGATATGCGGGGCAAGGACGATGAGTACGACTACCTCTTCAAAGGTGGGTCTCCTGCCCTGCCTGTGCTGCTCTGGCCATGCCTGCGATGAGCTGTGCTCGGTCTCAGCCTGCTGCAGGCGGTGCTATCTCCATGCAGCACTCTTGGGACGGAGCTGGAAGCTGGGGCTTTGGTTTATACTGGGTTATAACACAGCTCCCAGTGCTGGGGACCTGGGGGGGCTTGTTGGGGTGCTCCCCTGTGCTGGGCAGAGGGGTGGTGGGTATCAGTGATGCTGGGGCCTCAGAGTGGAAATTTGGCTGTGGTCCGAGCGTTTGCATAGAGCTGGCCTGTGGCTTCTGGGTGCAGGTGGCTGTTTGTGGCTCTAGTGCTAATTAAAGCAGCTTGTTACTGCTGTGGGAGGAGTCTAGAGCCCTCACCTGGGTGCAGCATCTAGGGGAGGGGTGGCCGTGCCTGTGGCAGGCAGGGTGCTGGTCCCTGGGGGCAGGCCGAGGAGGCAGGGGCAGTGGGGAAAGGTGGTCTGTGTGGCTCTGTGGGTGCCGTGCCGGCCCCTGAGCCCCTCTGAGCAGGTTTGGGTGCTCTCCTCTGCGTGGCTGGGGTGGGAGCAGCAGTTCTGGGGGCTGAGCGAGCAATCCCAAGAGGAAAAGCTGTGCCGCTTCCCCAGCTGCAGTTAAGGGAAAGGATCCAGGGCTCTGGGGTTGTCCTTCCCGGTGCTGGTCATGGTGTGACTCCTCCAGTGTGCAAGGTGGGGTGGGGCTGGGCCCTTGGAGGTGCAGTGTTGGTTTTCCTGGCTATAGGAGCCCAGCAGCCCCGTGGAGCATCCTCATCCGAGCTGCCATCCTCTCTGCATGCCAGGTTTCCCTGCCCTTAGCAGCTCTCCCCTTGCACCTACCGCCTTGCTGTGGCTGGAACGGGTGCTGGGGAAAGCGAGGGGACAACAGCTTGGCAACGTTGCAACCTCCCCAGCAATAAAAGCCAGGCAGTGAGATCACCCGGCAGCTGGCCATGAGTCAGCCTCCCCACGCAGCCCTGCTCGAAAGACCCCGAGTAATTCCAGCCACCAACATGACAGTAGCCCTTGGCTCCTCACACACCTCCCCTGGCCCCTGCCCAGGAAAATCGTCCTCTCTGGAGTTATTCTGGGACCCAGCAAGGGGGAAACTCTGATGCAGCTGGAGCTGGGTCATGACTCGGAGCGAGGCGCCTGGGCAGAAGCTCCTCCAGCTGGTATGGCCTTTCCTTCTTGCCTGGTGTTGCACCAGCAGTGCGGTTCTGAGATGGCCCCAGCGCGTTGTCCTCCTGTGGTGCCCATCCCTTCCCTGTGATCCTAAAGGAGCCAGGGCTGAGAGCAGCTCGGCACTGGGATCTGCATTCCCCTCCTCAGTCTTACGGTGATCTCTGGAGTCCTTAAAAAATAAGAGAACTTAGTTTTGAATGCAAGGTCTGCTCATCCCTCCTGAAGTAGGAGCAAATTCCAAGGGAGACGCAATGTTTAGGGGCACAGAGCTGGGCCAGCGCTCTCTGGGGTTACATGGCTCTGCTGAGACCAGCTTCACCCCCTGAGAAATGGGAGATGGTCACCGCTCGAAGCAGTGTTATCCTGATTTCCCACTGAGGCGGGAGCATCAGCTGCCTTCTCCTGTTGCAAAGCATGACGCAAATTCCAGCTGTGCTCATGGGAAGGCCCTCGATGCTGCTGGAGGGGCTTGGGATAGATGAGAAATGGCCCTGGGCATGGCTGCCCCTTGGACCTTTCCTCAGGGCCCCTGTGCAGAGCTCCAGGCTGTTTCCATCCCCACCTCTGGGGTGGGACGTGATGTGTCAAGGATGTTTCACTGGTGCTCACAGGATGTGTGCTCTCTGCTTTGAACAGCTCATGCTGCCTGTTCAGAGGCAGCAAGGACTGAGTGTGTCAAATGCTTCTGTGCGTGGGATGGATGGACAATGCTGCTCGAGTCCCTCTTGCCCTTCAAGCTAGGGGGATGGGGCTGAGCACATACCCCCTCTGCATCAAGGTGCCCCAGAGGCTGCTGGATCCCTGCCCCATCAAACCCACTCCCTCCATCCCTGGCATGGTGCAAAGCCTGCAGGAGTGCGAGGAACATGCCATGGCCATGGGGGGCTGTGCAAGGTCAGCGTGTGCCCGGCATGGGCTGGCTCTGCTCCTTCCTCCCTCCCCCAGTCTCATTTCCTAAGGCTTTCCCATATCAATACTTTTTTTTGCTGGCTGCAGGGGTGATGCAGCATGGCACGCCTGTGCCTCAGTTTCCCCTGGCTGTACTTAGTGCTGTCTCCTGGCAGCCAGGGCTCTTGCAGGCATCAGCTCTGCTGCCCTCCTGTCTCCAGGCCATGGCTGTGCTTGGGGCCAGAGGCAGCAGGAGCACGGCACTGCTGGAGTAGGGGACACAGCGGTTGAGCTGGGGGAAGTAGCAACTTCCCGTTGATTAAACACCAAGCCCAGATCAAAGTGGTGAGGCTCAGTAAGCGTTAACGAACCTGGCTCATCGCTGGCCTGCATTTTTCTACCGGTTTGTCCAGGGTAGCCCAGATTGTCATGGTCCTCCCAGGCTTCCATGTAGCATGCAGCAGCTTTCACAGCTGCACGGAGGAGCCACCCTTCCCTCTGTCGCTGGACGCCTTGACATGGTGATTGCTAGTGAGGCTCCGGTGCCTTCCAGCTGCCCTCGGTGATCACAGGGAGCTGCTCCACATGCTGTCGGGTTTCACGGAGCAATGCTATTTGCTGGCTGCCCTGCACCAAGGGTTTTGGCAAGGGGATGGCTACCTTGTTGGAGGCTTTGCATCTCAGCCCATGCAAGGGAGCCAAGTCCCAATGAGCTGGAGCTGATGGGGAAGAGGTTATCCAGAACATGGAGCAACATCCTGGGAGGATGGCGGCTGCTGAGCCTTGAAAGAGTGTAGATGTGTCTTGCTGCAAAACCCAGGCAAATCTGCAGCGTGCTTTTCAGCCCTGGTGACAAGTGCAGCGGTGTGGCATACCCGGTGGTCCCTTGCTGGTGTTGCTGGTCCAGCATTCTTCCCAGTGTGGTCACTGGATGGTTGTGATCTCAGCCCTGCTGTTGTCTGATCCTGGTGGGGAGAAGTGTCCCCCAAGCTTGGTCCCCCAAGGGTGGGTGAAGTGAAGCGGGCTGCATTTGAGTGCACCTGGAGAATGAACTGAATCAACAGTGGGGGTATTTAAAAAAAAAAAAAAAAATCAAAACCTGTTGAGTCATAAACTCAACAAACTTGACAGGGAAGCCGTATGATAAAGCCTCCCCAGAGCCTGTTGCACCAGGTTTTACAGGAACCAGCCAGATCTGGGACAGGCAGAAAATGCACTTAACTAACCCACACCCAGGGACTTCCCGGCTCATGGGCTGGACCAGTAGCAGTGGAGGAGGATGCTTCCCTTCAGACCATGTCTTTTAAGTCCTCTTGTGTGCCCTCAGGGTTGGAGCTTGGGCTGGAAATAGGAGACCCAGCTCTGCTTGGCCTCTCTGGCCTGGCTCTGGTTTTCTGCCTGTTTTGTGTACATAGGTGCATATGGGGCCTTCCTGTCCCCGGTGCTGGGAAGGAAACGCCTGGCAACTTCCAGGCAATGGCAGGAATTTTCTTGAGGGGCATTTACAGGTAGCTGTGGTGCTGCTGGGATGAGCGGAGGCTGCTGGTCTTGCTCCCCAAGTGCAGCTTCCCAGTTGCAGCTCCCTCATCCGGCAGCTTCTCCCTGGATGAAATGGACGTGGGGTCTGGGCGGGGGGCAGATGGGGAGATCCCCCATCCCTGCCAGGCTGGGCTGTGGGGTTTGCTGGGATGATCGGCATTGCAGGATACAAATGCCTTTGTTGGGCGTCCAGGGGGACTGACACTGTGCTTGTGCCCCCCTAGTTGTGCTCATTGGGGACTCCGGGGTGGGGAAGAGCAACCTGCTCTCACGCTTCACCCGCAATGAGTTCAACCTGGAGAGCAAGAGCACCATTGGGGTGGAGTTTGCTACGAGGAGCATCCAGGTGGACAACAAGACCGTGAAGGCTCAGATCTGGGACACGGCCGGGCAGGAGCGGTACCGGGCCATCACCTCGGCGTAAGTTTCCTTGCTCCCCACCTGTGTCCCTCACCCAGGGCCCTGCTGTGACCCTGTCCCCTCACTGTTCCCCAGGTACTACCGGGGGGCGGTGGGAGCTCTGCTCGTCTACGACATCGCCAAGTACCTGACATATGAGAACGCTGAGCGCTGGCTGAAGGAGCTGCAGGATCACGCTGATGCCAACATTGTCATCATGCTGGTGGGCAACAAGAGCGACCTGCGGCACCTGCGGGCCGTGCCCACCGATGAGGCCAGGAGCTTTGCAGGTATCTCCCCATCCTGCCCTGTCCTGTCCCATTCCAGGGTGGCTGTAGCTCACGGCACCCGCCTGAGCTCACCCTGTCCTTGCAGAGAAGAATGGGCTGTCCTTCCTTGAGACGTCTGCTCTGGACTCTACCAACGTGGAGACGGCTTTCCACAACATCCTCTCGGGTAAGGGGCAACCGGGAAAGTGGGGGACAGATGGAGATGGTTTTGGACATTGTGTCCTCCCAGGACCCGCTGGAGACCCTGACTGTATGTTCTGGGGTGGGTTCCTGCTCCCCTGGATGGGGAGATGTGGGCATTTGCACCCCTTGAGCTGTGTGTTTTGGGAGGGGACTGGTCCCCCACTGAAATATATACTTAAAGATTTTTTTTCCTTCTCTTCTTTCTCTTCTGGCAGAGATCTACCGCATCGTGTCACAGAGGCAGATCACTGGGCAGCCAGAGTCAGAGTTTGGCCCCACCACGACCATCGAGCCCATAAGGGTGCTACCCACGCAGCAGGAGGGCAGGCAGGCGCCCTGCTGCCAGAACATCTGAGCCCCCTGGGGTGCCCCCACCCTGACATGCCCCCTCCCACCATCCAGCACATGGTGGCATCATGTTTCTCACCCTCTACCTCTGCTTGCTGCAGCCCCCCAGAACAAGGCGGGCTGTTGGCTGCTTCTGCGCGGCTGCTCTTGTGTGCACCATCATGCTGCCTGTGTGCTGCTCTCCCTGTGTTTTTATGCAGGACCTACACAAATGGGGGGGGGGGGGGGGCAACAC